AAATGGGGTTTGAAGCTTCGTTTTTGAATTATTAAAGAAAAACGCGGATCAATCAGAGCGCGAGGATTATTACGCGTTGGACTACTACGCGTCGAATATCCACACGTTGGATTACTACGCGTTGGATATCCACATGCTGGATTACTACGCGTTAGATTACCACGCGTTGGATAATTCCGCGTTATCCGAAGCTACCGTTCTCGCGTCTGCGCATGCGTAATCCCTGCGCTCTGATTGGTCCGTGTTTTTCCTTAATAATTCAAAAACGAAGCTTCAAACCCCATTTTTGCAAAGGGAAATCTTATTCAGTATCATGTCAGTTACCGTTTCAGAGACCTACACTAGATGTGGGACATCCTGTATAACGAAAAAGAGCATATGAATTAAATTCACCTAATTTCACATTTTTAAGCTCACCCAACCGAATCTCTTCAGTCGCCTTTTATCTCAAAATTTCTATGTTAAATAATCTTCGATTAAATCAATATTGCAAGTAATTTTGGTACACTTACTAATAACTGTAACATTAATTTCACTTTTACATGACATCACAAAGATCAACTTTTTTGTACCATAATTCTACATCCACATGTATCGTACATGAAAATATTCTTCAAATTATTTCCAGTTAACTAATTTCAATTGTTCAAAAGTATTTATACATTTTGTCATTTTTCGGTAAAAGTACGATACGAAAAGTATCCACGAATTTCTGGGACGAATATATGGAACGACCTAATTGCGAGAAGCACGATTTAACTCTGAAATAATCCGTACATCAGCTTTTCCCTTTTTCTCAATAAGTTCACATTCGGTAGTCAGGCTTTAGTCGTCTTTCCAAGGAGTGGACGAATATTTGAGCTCTGTACAGACTTCGAGTACTTCAATTTTCTGGTCTACTCCTGTTTCCGACTTGTTTTCCAATTGCTCGAGTAAGAGCCACCACAATTCGTCGACCACACAGTGAAATCAAACTGAGATCTGTAATTCGAGTAGAGTGACCGTGTTCAAAGGTAGAAGATCGAAGGCCAATTTAAACGTGGTATCGATCATTCGTGTCGATATTTGAATACTTTCGACCTGTGTTGAAAATTATCGCTGATGATACTTCATTGCTTGGATTATTTCCAAAATAGAGAAATTTCATTTTTATATTATTGTGGTCTTGGTATAATTTAATTTATAGCGCCATTCATAATATTTTACAAATTTTGCTAAATAATATTCTTCATAGTATTTTACAATTTTTACCTAATAATATTCTTCATATTTTACAAATTTTACTAAATAATATTCTTCATATCACACAAGACTAAAGTGAGGTTATGTTAGGTTATGTTACATTAAGTTTAAATTATGTCAAGCTAGGTGAAATAATTTAAAAGTAATTCTCTATTGCCTTTTTTTTGTAAGAATATTTGCGAATTAGTCTGCAGTGGTGTAACAAATTAATCCCACACCCGAAAACACATTTTGCGGTGAATTGTTTTCGTACCACCGCTGTAGCCGAATTAAGTTTCGATGAATTGTTTTTCCACGAATTGTATATTTCAATAAACTGACATTAAGTGGATTGTGATTCGGTGGATCGAAACTGTGTAAATTTCGCGTAAACCATCAAAGGGTGATTACTACAATTTGCTGAATAATGGAACGGCAGTTGACATCGTTCTAAAGAATTTTAGAAATTGCTGGCCACGTTTTGGAACGAACCGATTCAAAGCATTTCGCGTTTCCGAAATGTTGACAGAATTTTAAAGTAACTTAATATATACTGCAACTTTATAATTGCATATTGTATCGCAGCTAATTGGGTTATAATGTAATTTATTGCAATATAACGCGATGGTATTTCAACGAAATTCGATACAATTTAATTTGTTACAAATAATGTGATATACTATAATTTATTGCAATGTAATTCAACAAACTACTATATAATGTAATTCATTGCTACATAATGCAATATAACGTAATTTAGTGCGATATAATGCGAAAGAATGCAATTTATTGCGGTACAATAAAGTAAATTGTAATGTAATGTAGTTTATTTCAATACAGTGATGTAAATTGCAATATTATATAATATAATGTAATTCATTGCAATATAATGCGACAGAATGCAATTTATTGCGGTACAATAAAGTAGATTACAGTATAATATAATTTAATGCAATACAGTGATGTAAATTGCAATATAGTATAATATAATGTAATTCATTGCAATATAATGTGACAGAATGCAACATATTGCGGCACAATAAAGTAAATTGCAGTATAATGTAATTCGTTGCAATATATTGCGGTACAATAAAGTAAATTGCAGTACAATGTGATTCATTGCAATATAATGTGACAGAACACAATTTATTGCAATAAAATAAACTACATTGCAATATAACGTAATCTACCACAACAAAACGCAGTATACTGTATCCCATTGCAATATAACGCGACACAACCTAATTCATCACAGCACACCATAATTTATTGCAGCACATTACAATCTAATGCACTTTCAAACCGCTATAAGCTACAGTCAGATTACTTTTTTCATCTTCAACTAAAAATTATGATGTTCCCATGTGATTCGAATGCTGATCCGGCCATCTTATTCGCGTTAGGCACAAGCGGCGCTGATGTACGACGCCGTGTTTGTTCTGGTCGAGGCGTTCAACAAGTTTCTGAGAAAAAAGGCGGACAGAAGCAATGTGAGACGAACGGGAATACCTGGCAGCAATCAAATTACAAATGGCACCAGGGCTTTGGATTGCAACAGCAGTCGAGGATGGGGAGTGACACCTTTCGAACACGGTGACAAAATTTCCAGGTTACTGAGAAAGGTGAGGATTTTGTCAAAAAGCAACCATCTATTCCATTTGAAAAGGGTTTCTTTTTATATATTCGTATTGAATATTCAATTATTTTTCAATTGAATTGTTTTTGTTTATATTATACTTATAATTCATCGATGTGAAGCTGTGGAAGATTCAATTTATTTAAATCTGAAGACTTCAATTTTTTAACAGAACTTGCAACATATAGTACTAATGTATCAGTACTTATGCAATTTTTGTATACTTGTTATGAATGATTCATATTTAACGATCATATGAAGTGTGGTATGAGTGTGTGACGTATGAGTCATATGAGTATCATCAAGTGATCATATTATTCACCAATCTAAAATATCAGTAAGAGAACAATTTTTAAAAATACATTTCAACGTTTCAAGATTTAAAATAACAATAAGTCATTAAATTCATTTAGGTCCACCATCTGTCGGTCCACGCGTCTCATCACTGCTGACGCAGCAACACACCACGTAACCATGCACATACAACCCAAATTATAATCGAATAATAGCAATTTAGGCTGTAAACACCTTTATGTCAACGACCGATCAACGTCAAAAATGACAAAGTTACGATTGGATGATTGGTCTTGAAATTCTTGAGCCAGAGATAGAAATGCAGAAACAGTCAATATGTTTCGAACACCGTGGCAACCGAAATTGCCAGGGACTCTTCTCGACGTCTCTCTGTTATTGACAGTAATTGGCGGTTATTCCGACTCTCTACTAGCATTCCTATGTCGACGTGAGATCCGTCTACCTTCGTTCCCGACGTGTGTGTGTATACATATATACAATCACATTTACGGGGAAAATGTCTGTCTTCCTTTCCGGTGATCGTCTAGTTGTCGCGATATAATCGAACACCATAATGTCTGTCGATATCAGGCTCATTATTATGCTGATTTTTCGTTCTGGTGTACAGGTGTAGACTTTGAATGGTGAAATTTGACAGCTCTTAGTTGACAGATTTTTGTATATTTTTGTTGGAGGTCATTTATTGATTTTTGTATTTACTAATTTTTTAATCACTATAGTCAATATTTGTAATTTTTCAAATTCTTTGAAAAAGAAAATTAGCTTTTGACTTTGGTAGTATAACCATTATTTGATTCCGAAAAGATTACTGAATGTAAATGCGCGACAAGAATGTAAGAAAAATACACTTTATTTAATTACATGTTCAAAATGTATGCCGTCTTCCATCACGCAATATTGCGGTCTTTTACTTCACATTTCCACTTCTGTAAATCGAGTAGTATGTTAATAAAAATATCATGTAACATGTGTTTTGAATTCGTCTCGATGTCCTCTAAAGCTATGAATAAAAAAATGTATGTTCCTATTTAAAAAACTCAAGTGACCTTGACTTTGCCGAGAAAACAAACTGTTTTCAAAATTTGCTTTACTAATATCTATTGTGCACTTCATACCCTGCAAATATTGTTCCAAACTTTTTTTCGTAAGGTGCAAGTGAGAGAAAAATCGTAGCGTTACAGGTAACACCCTGTATAACTCTTGTTGAAATATATACTATGCTGTCGTAAAAAAAATTATACCACTTTATTTGGAGGTTAGGTGCACTCGAATATTCATAATTTTTAACATAGATGAAAATTCAAAGAGTTTCCTTATATTGAACCAATATACACACCAATATATTGAACCAATATATTGAATCAAGAACCAATTTGATGGTTAGGTATATCAAAAGTATTCTTCTAGGATCATGCAATTTGAAGGTTAGGTGTATCAATTTATTTTTCGCAATTTCAGAGACAGAATTAAAGGTTTCGTCGTATTAATCAAGAATCTTGTAATTTGGTGGTTAGGTGTATCAAAAGTATTCTCTGTATAATATCTGCTGATAAAATTTTTGTCACCAGATTTTGCCACCTTAATATAACTCATATACCGCACGAAAAAGCGATATTTGATCGAAAGTTATAACAGAAACGTTAAATTGACAAAGAGATAAATGAAAAGTAATTAATCCGTTCGGAAAATCCCGAATTAATCGTGTTATAATAATTGGTATCTTTTAATTGTTATTTTTTATTCATTTCAACGTGACAATCGCATCGAAAACATCGCAATCGACGGAATAAATATAGCCGGCAAACGGGATCAATTAAACACGACCGAAAGTAGTACAAAACAATTAAAAAGAATGCAATTTCCAGCAATCAACGACCGAATAGTATATTTACAAACGAGCATCACTTTGTATAGAGGCGGTGACACACGCGTACGTTGTTCGGAGTTGATATCGATTGTATATATTTAACTTTTAGGTGGAAATCGAGGGACTGACCGGCGAGATACGCTTCAACGATGATGGCCGACGACACAATTACACTCTCCACGTCGTCGAGATGACGGTCAACAGTGCCATGGTCAAAGTAAATATTTTTTCGCTTTTTTCCGCGATGGCCACGTGTTCTTGTTATTTCGGAAATTACCAAACGTTTCGAATAATCGATCTATACAAGTTTTATGTAAATGCGATATTTTTTACTACATTCGGAGATTTATGTTGACAATTTTATTCTGTGATTAAAAGTGAAACTTTTTGAAGGAATTTGTTTTATTCAAGGTGGCGGAATGGACGGACGAAGCTGGGTTTCAGGCTATCGCTGCAAAATACATTCGACTTCGACCGCACACCGAAATCGAGAAGAACAAGACTTATATTGTGACCACCATTGTGGTAAGACATTGAGATTTCTTGCATTTAAGGTTCCTTTTTATCAATTATTGAATTTTTTATTTTTTGTTATTTTTTATCGTTTAAGACATTCATGTAATTTTCAGTTACACAGTATTTTTAAAATGTTAGATTTTATTTTTGATCTTTTTGTACAATTCTGATTTTCTGTGTTATGTTTTTATTATCCTCCAAGTTTCAGATTTCCAATTATTTTCTACTTTTAGTAGCATTTTAAATTCTTAGAATTTATTTTTGATCTTTTTGTACAATTCTGATTTTCTGTGTTATGTTTTTATTATCCTCCAAGTTTCAGATTTCCAATTATTTTCTACTGCATTTTAAATTCTTGATTTTGTGCTACACTGTGCTATCTTCTAAATATTAGATTTCATATTATCTACTGTCTTTTGTATTTTTACTTTTTCTATTACATTTTCATTACCTTCCAAGTTTCATATTTCCAATTAGTTTTTAGCATTGGACAAATTATAGATTTTCTGCTATATTATTTGTATTTTATTATTCGGTATGTGTTATTAATTAATATTTTTTGTATTATTTACTTTAAGTGTAAATACATTGTGTTACATTATTTTTTACCATTTTATGAATTTTTGTTTTGTTGTCATATATTTGTATTGTATTATTATTTACTTTAAGTGTAAATACATTATGTTACATTATTTTTTACCACTTCATAAATTTTTTATGTTCTATCATATATTTGTGTTGTATTATTATTTACTTTAAGTGTAAATACATTATGTTACATTATTTTTTACCACTTCATAAATTTTTTATGTTCTATCATATATTTGTATTGTATTACTTTTTACTTTGTAAATGTAAATACATTGTGTTACATTATTTTTTGCCTTGTCATAAATTTTTTATTTCCCATCATATATTTGTATTGCATTACTTTTTAAGAATGAATATATTAATTGTTCACCATTTTCTAAATTTTTTTCTCATATCTTCACAATCATCCAAATCTCAAATTTCCAATAAAATTAAAAAACAAAATAACAATTGCACCCTTGATTAATTACTAATTTTCATTGAATATCGTATAACATAAAACATACCTAAATGCTCAGTAACAGTTAATGTACCGAGTTTTTAACCATTAACGATACTCTCGTTGCTTAATCGGTTGAATACATCGTTGTAATTAAAAAAAAGTGGGTAATGTGGATTACTTCTTTCAATTTCGTTTCATTAATGGTACGTATTCATTTTATTTCACAGAATTTCTGTTGAAACGTTAGATACAGATATACAGGATTTAAATTGGAATGAAATTGAATTTTTCGTGCAGGAAGAACCGTACATCATGAGGAAAAAATCGGACACTGGAGAGATACTCACTGGAAACGATAGCTACGAGGGTTATTGTAAAGACTTAGCTGATCTCATTGCTAAAAAATTAGGAATTACCTGTAAGTACTTTTGTTGTCAATTTATAATATAATTATAGGAATAATAAATCAATAAGTTGCTATTATTTGATGTGGTTCTGGTAAATTGAATTAATAATAATGTAAATCAACCTAGTTGAAATAATTTAATTATGATGATATTTCATATTGAGAGATGATTGATTAATAATGTAATTATAATGCAATTATTCATATATAATAATTCAAACATTGTTAAATTACATTTTAATGTAGTTCAAATATTTTTCAATAGTCTATTACAATTTAATTATAATGTTATTACTGATATATAAAATAATTCAAATGTTATCTAATAATTAATTAAATCAATTTGTTAAACACTTATGAAGAAGAAGAAGAATAATTTAATTTTAATATTTTGTAGTTCAAATATTATTAAACAGTCTAACACAATTTATAACTACTGATATACAAAATAATTACAATATTTAATAATCTGATCAAACGAAATTAATTCTAATTTTTACATAGTACAAAACATAATTTAATAACAGCTAAATACAATTTAATTTAATATTTCAAGTTAAACCACGAGTATTAATTGACGTTCAGTAGTTCTAAAACAAATTAGTCAATTACCAGAATCAATTTCTAGATATCACTAAATCTAATTTCCAAATGCAACCTATTATAACAATCGCCGTTTAAACTAATTCGCTACGGAATATCTCGTGATATACCGAAACGAGAGAATACTATACTGAATTAACGTTTAAATCACACTTCCATTTGCTAATTACACAAGGAACGTGTGCTTGCAGTACTCCGGCACTAACAAACTTAATTAAATTGAATTAAGTCCAACCGTCTCGTCTATTGTGTATATTCTCGATATTATCGTTACAGTTTCATATTTATCTAATCCCGGAGTTCTGTATACCATAACAGTCTCTGGTTAATTGATATTCGATACCACAAAATTACATCTGCATTTCGGAATTGAGAAATATTCAATTTTTCTACTTTAATAATTTATTTATTTATTTATACAATATCATTAATTCGTATCGCATTATTTTTATGAGAAAAGACCTATAAGTCAAATCGATCACTTGTGGACCTCACCATCTGCGATTTCGCTCTAATCAAAATATGTCGTAATCCACGTAAAATTAGGGGAGGTTTAAGTCATTATTTTGCCAGTTTCGAATTTTTTAAGAAACAGCCCTTAAAAGTTTGCAATTTTTTCCCATTTTTCCGAAAATAGGTTTCACTCACGAATTTTTTTCTCAGAAACTACCCAACGAATTTAGCTAAATTTTGTTTTCTTTTATTCGCAAAGGATTGAGCTATTTTAAAATATTTTTTTTAATTCCGTCAATTTGTTATAGAATCTTGCAAAATTTAAACAAATTCTTTTTTTGCGTTTTTTACAATGAGGAGCGTAAAGGGTTTAAATTAAAAAGATATATGGTCATATTCTTTGAAGCCCCTTTAAAATGAGCCCTTCAGATGGAGCCTCGAAAACTGACAAGCTGGAAAGGACTTGGGGTACATCCGTTTTAAATAGGCTCGCGCTCAGCTATTATAATCGTTTATTTATACAAGATTATTATAGTATTATTACAACATTATTAATTCATGTCTCATAATTTTAATGAGGAAAGATGACTTATGCAAAAGGATCTTAGGAGCCATAGAAACAATCCCTCCTGAAAATAATACTAACGTAAGAGATTCAAAAACTGAATCCTCGAATTTGGAACAAAACGATATTGACCGATGAAGAAAGTTTCTAGTTCTCCGTAACAAATAACTATATCTTCCGATTTTCCAGACGAGCTACGGATCGTGAAGGACGGAAAATACGGGATGGAGAATCCGGATGTTCCCGGTGGTTGGGACGGGATGGTTGGCGAGTTGATACGCAAAGTAAGTTCGCAGAGATGCTAATCGCGGCGATTCGGAGCGTTTCGAAAACGGAACACCCCGGAAAATGGAAACCCGACTCGAACAATTTCACACGGTCACGAAAGATTCTACTATTGATCGGATTCGAAACGAACGCTGAACAAGCTGTTTTATCCTCCTGCTGAGAGTGCGGAGATTATCCACCAGATGTCCGCTATGTATGGGCTCTTTGTTGCTTTTCGAGCTACATCTGGTGGAGGAGACTGCAGATATGTTGACTTTCTTGTTTCGGTTGCTAAGGAAGGATTGTATTAATTATTGTTTTATTTTGTATTAATTATTGATGTAATATTATTGATTATTAATTATTGAATCACGCTATTATTGTTGAGTGACATTTTTAAATAATATGACATGTGATTGTAACAATGTGACAGTATTACAACGTTGAAATGATTGAAGAGTAAGATGGTGGATGTAGGATATGATTTTATTCATTTGAGCTAATTCTCACAAAATGTATCATTGATGCATCAAGCATTTTGTTTGTGAATAATGAAATTGATTTATTGTATAATTAGAAATGCTGTATTTTTATAAGTTTACATTTTTGTTGAAATTAGAAATGTATTTTTACTACATAAGTAATATGATAATAATACAGTGAAAATGTATATTTAATATTTACAGAGCAACTATTACACAAGAATTTGAAAAGTTGCAATTTTAATATTATATTTGTATATCAACAAAGATATTTTTGTTTTTAGATGTTATATTTTTATTGCAAGAAAATATTTTTATTATCAGACTACAATTTTCATGTCTTAACATTTCAATGACTTATACATACATTCTGTAAAGCAAAGAAGTTAATTTTTGATTGCATGATTTTTGTCAATTTTTAACAAAATATAAATATATGTAAGGAAATAAACTTTCATAAATAATATCAACAAAAATAACCATAGACAAACAAATTTATTTGAAAGATATAACATAATATTATAGAACTAATGAAAATGAAGTTACAACAGAAATTGTGATCACAAAATTTGTAATATATTTTCAGTAACTTAATCTATTCAACTATTCACTCATACTTGTTGAAATGTAAAAATTTTGTGGTTATTATCTTTAATTTTTAACTTGCATATTTCCCACAAAATGCAACAAAGGATTAACAAATAACACAAATTATCATTTGTAAAAATGATCACAAATAAAAATACAATAAATAATAATACAATCAGATCAGATAAATGATCCAAAAATTAGTAAACTATTACACCTCTGAATAATAATATCAATTATGTTCCAGGAAGCAGACATAGCAATAGCGCCAATGACAATCACATCTGAACGCGAACGAGTGATCGACTTCAGTAAACCCTTTATGTCCCTGGGTATCAGCATCATGATAAAGAAACCCATCAAACAGAAACCCGGGGTATTTAGCTTCTTGAACCCGTTGAGCAAAGAAATCTGGGTGTGCGTGATCTTCTCATATATCGGCGTATCCATTGTTCTCTTTACCGTGTCCAGGTAAATGGTCATTTTTCGTGTACTCGTTTTCTCCTGTTCAGTAGTTACGGTCGGTATGTTGTCAGGCGAAACGTCGACTCGTGCTATTTGATTTTTATTGTGGAACTGTTACGTCGATATTAAATTATTGATGGTATTATTTGAATGTTATATAAAAATTTTAAATATGATATGATTGTTGAAATGTAACTTAACCTTCCACTGATGGTAGTTAGGTCAAATATGACCCATATCATAGTCAAATACCATCATGAAGTGTACTTTATAATCGTGCTTTATGTATCGAACTTAAAATTTTATATTAAATATTAATTTACAAGTAATTTAAGATTTACAAAATAATAAGTTAAAGTTGAATTTTCATTCCAAGGTATGTGTTCAGTGAACAAGAATTATTTTTCATTTGATAGTTAAGTATGTTATTGGTGAGATTAAATTTGTTATTATATCATACTAGCTTCATAACTATTTTTAAAAATATTATATATTTGAGAAATATTCTTTTCTAATTTAATCTGACATAATTTTTGTCATCTTTAAATACATTTTATTTCAACAATTTTAACAACGCATCAACAGTTCAATATTTTACTTAAAAAAATATTGAAGAAGTAATAAAAGTGACTACAATAACATTATGAATAATCGATACTTTATATCAATTCTATAACATATGGTACTATGCTTCTTCTCGCCGAAGTAATAAAACTTTGCAAGTCTGTCACCAAAGTGAGGGAACACGTGTCACTTTTTTCTGTATCGACAACTCAAGTTTGAGGAGTGAAATCACCTCAAAACTTTCACACCTACGTCAACTTTCGATTTCTCTAGAAGTTAAACTACCATTATGAAGAAAAACTCATGTGACACAGATATTTCACCTACATTTAATTCCCTAGAAAAATCCTTTTTTCAATTTATATTTACTACAAAACACAGAATATTAATGAAACTAATCAAAACATCAAAATAAATCCGTTTAATTTTTGCATAAGTGCTGTCGATTTCTTTATAACAATTATTTATAACAAGAATGTAATATTACATTCTTATTATTAATAATTTATTGTTAGAAGTATAATTAGCTTCTGTACCATTGTTTTGAATAACATAATGATTTTTTGTAATGAAAAACTATTTTTTACAACAATTATCCAGAAGAGATAAAAACATTTAATTCTCCCACATTCTCATTCAGATTTTCACCCTACGAATGGAGGGTGTTAACATTGAGCAGCGGAGGGGATCCCACAATGTCAACCAGGAATGATCCCACGTTACAACATCCACATGGCTCGCAAGGATCACCTCATATTCCAACTTCAAGCATGGCTAACGACTTCAGCATCATTAACAGTCTATGGTTCGCGTTAGCTGCCTTCATGCAACAGGGCTGTGACATATCTCCCAGGTAAAAAATCATTTTGCAGCATTTAAAGTTGAGAAGGTTGGGCAAGATAAAAAATTGGGGAAAATTGGGGAAATTAAGAAAATTAGGAAAATGAGGAAAAGTAGCATTATGGATGTGGGAAACTGGAAAATTGGGAATGCGGGAAATTTGGCATTTGGCAATTTTTTGGATTCAGGAAATTAGAAAATTGGGAAATAAGGGATTTGGGAAATTAGGGAACTGGGATATTACGGAATTCGAAAAATTGAGGATATGGGCAATTAGGGAATTGGGAAATTTGGAATTTGGAAAATTTAGGATTTGGGAAAATAGGGAATTGGGAAATTTGGAATTTGGAAAATTTAGGATTTGGGAAATTTGGAATTTGGGAAATTAGGGAATTGGGAAATTTAGGATTTGGGAAATCAGGGAACTGGGAAATTTGGAATTTGAAAAATTTAGGATTTGGGAAATTAGGGAATTGGGAAATTTGGAATTTGGAAAATGTAGGATTTGGGAAATTTGGAATTTAGGTAATTTAGGATTTGGGAAATTTGGTAGTTGGGAAATTTAGGATTTGGGAAATTTGGAATTTGGAAAATTTAGGATTTGGGAAATTTGGAATTTGGGAAATTAGGGAATTGGGAAATTTGAAATTTGGAAAATTTGGAATTTGGGAAATTAGGGAATTGGGAAATTATGGAATTCGGAAATTATGGAATTAGGAAATTAGGGAATTGGGAAATTGTGAAATTGTGAAATTGGAAAATTGGAAAATTGGAAAATTGGAAAATTGGGAAATTGAGAACTGGGAACACAACTCACCTTCACATCACAATCTCTAATATCCTAATATCTGTCATAATCCCAATCACATCCCACATCAATTACAATCCCATCCACATTAATCACGTCTCAAAACAATCATAACATAACAATAAAAAAATATATCAAATCCCCCAACCATCACATCAAATCATTAGAAAATGTTTCCATCCATCCGACGATCACGATAGAAAGACAAGTTAGTCTCTCTTGTAGCTAATTATAGCCACTTTCACCGTGGCCGTTTCCGTTTCCGCGGTACAAGCAAACGGGGCAAAGTACATAAAGGCTTCCTTTTAAGTAGCGACAGGTCAACCGTGCTGTCTGCTAATAGGATGAATTGGAGGGAGGTGAAGCGACGGGGTTGAAGGGATAAGATTCAAAAGGTTCGTCGCTCTCTCGACGAGAGTTTAAAGTCTCCTGTGTAAACCTTTCGCAGTTCTTCTTCTTCTTCTTCGAGGACGTTGTATCGCGCTCGTGTCGTTCGTTGAAAAGGGGGCTACTTCTGTGTAATTAGCGACGGGGTTCGATTCAAGAAGCGGTAAAGCATAACGGAAGTAATAAGCGTTCCACGTAAACGACGCCTCGAGACGGCGGCTAATTGCGAACATTACAATACACTCGTACTATTTACTTTTGATTAACTTCCGAATTTTCGTGCGAAGTCTGTTTGTTGGCAGAGAGTTTTAGGTTCATGGAATGAATTGGAGCAACGTTTGTTTTTAATCGAATTACAAATGCACAAAGTGTTGAAAGAAAATTAATTAAACTTGATGAAAGTATTGATATGAAAGCAATTTTCATTTTGAAATAGATGGAAATCATGTATGAAAACCGCATATTCTATTACAAATTATGTCACGTATGAATATCACATATGCTATTACATGTTAATTTGATGTTACAACCATATATGCTATTATATGTTAATTTGATGTTACATATTCTGTTACATGTTAATTTCATATTAAATTCACATATTCTATTACATATAGATCACATATGTTAAAATCACTATTACATCTTAATTTAATGTTAAAGTCAGATACTCCGTTATATGTTAATTGATATCAAACTCACATGTTCCATGACATGATTAGATATTAAAATTGCATGTTAAACTACATATCAATCATTTAATAATTAGTTTCTTCAATCATTGCAATAAACCTATCTTCACATTAACTATGATGTATACATTCTTCCAAACTATAATACTCCACATACGTATGTCAATCTACATATGTCAATATGTCCACATGTGTCAGTCCATATATGTCAATGCACATATGCCAATATATCCACGTGTGTTAATCCACATATGTCAATCCACATATGTCAATCCACATATGTCAATCCACATATGCCAATATGACCACATGTGTCAATCCACATATGCCAATATGTCCCCACGTATCAATCCACATATGCCAATATGTCCACATGTGTCAATCCACATATGTCAATCCACATATGCCAATATGTCCACATTAGTCCACATATGTCAATCCAAATATACCAATATGTCCACATTAGTCCACATATGTCATCCACTAGTTGTGAGACACCCTGTACTCCTCGAAGCAACATCAAAACACATGTTTACAAACGAACGAGATTTACAACCACGCTATATTTCCTCAATTACGTATACTTGGCAGTCCATCACTAATCACGATATACCAAAGCGACCTTCAACGCACAAATCCCCATTGCTAACCACCAGATAGCACAACAAAGATAACCTTTAAGAGTGTGATTTACGAGGCTGAACAGCAAAGGGTTCAGGTACATGGTAATTATTGTTGCAAATTCCTTCGTTTAAATTACAACCGCGTACCGGATAAACGACGATTATAACCGGCTGGCCGGAATTATCACAATATAATCGGATTACGTTTCGCAGCGTATCGTGCTCGATGTAATTTAGAACGACTTCGTAAATCGGCACCGCGATTAGGCCAACAACTCATTTGAATGAGCGTGTCGTGCCAGGGAGACCCCGGCTTAGAAATTTCCTTAACGACACGCGCCGACCAAGGCCGAATCGTGCGTTTATGAGCCGGATAATCGTTAACGTGGATAACAATTTTCTTTAGGGTCGATATGTTACCCTAATTTTATTAAGTTGCGTTGACGTGTCTGTTGACGTGATGTACTCGGAAATTTTGGTTCAAGTGTGGGGGGTGTTGTTTGACGATGGAGTTATGTTGAAATGGCCTTTGATGGGGAGATTGTTTTTTTATGGGTGAAGTAGAGAGCTGAAGTAAGTAGAAGGTTGATGAATTTGGTCTGTTAGAGAGTTGGATATTTGAAAACTGGGAAATGAGGTAAAATTGCAAAATTAGAAAATTAGAAAATTAGAAAATTAGAAAATTAGAAAATTAGAAAATTGCAAAATTGAGAAATTGGGTAGTTAGGAAATTGGGAAAGTGGGAAAGTGGGAAGTTGGGAAATTGATAAATTTGGAAACTTGAAAACTTGGAAATTGGAAAATTGAGTAATTGGAAAATTGGGAAATTGGGAAATTGGGAAATTGGGAAATTGCAAAATTGCAAAATTAGAAAATTGGAAAATTGAGAAATTGGGTAATTAGGAAATTGGGAGAGTGGGAGAGTGGGAAAGTGGAAAAGTGGGAAATTGGGAAATTGACAAATTTGGAAACTTGAAAACTTGGAAATTGGAAAATTGAGTAATTGGAAAATTGGGAAATTGGGAAAATGCAAAATTGCAAAATTAGAAAATTAGAAAATTAGAAAATTAGAGAATTACAAAATTGCAAAATTGAGAAATTGGGTAATTAGGAAATTGGGAAATTGACAAATTTGGAAACTTGAAAACTTGGAAATTGGAAAATTCAGTAATTGGAAAGTTGAGGAATTGGGGAATTGGAAAATTGAGGAATTGGGAAATTGGGAAATTGCAAAATTGCAAAATTAGAAAATTAGAAAATTGGAAAATTGAGAAATTGGGAAGTTGGAAAATTAGAAAATAGAGAAACGACAAAATTGAAAATTAACCAATTGGAAAATTTAAAAATTGTGAAATTCTCCCAACTAAAAATTTAAATATTTCATCAACATAAATTTCCAAACTTCAAGAAATACCTTAAAATTCATCGAAAATCTCAAAATACAAAAACCTTAATAATTATCAATACAAAACTATAGAAATTTAGCAACTTCATCCAAGTACAGATTTAATGCAGCTACAATTTAAACATTTTTTACAAGAAATATAAGCTCACACCAGGAAATACATAACTCCTATATGCTAAAGTGTCTCATAAATCGTGAAAGGAGCAATGGCCAAGAATTCGCAACGTTTCAACCACTTGATGACTTGCTCTCGATTAATTTACATCTCGCAGTATCCACCCTCGCCGTGGTAGCCTTCTTGATTAATGGTTTAAATATTCGCGCCACGGCGATATGAATTGTAAATTTTGGTGGGAACCTTCTGCCTCCCCAACATCCGTAGTTTCTCTCCACGTCTGTTATGCTTCTTCTTTCTTCCTATTGTAGGACTTCCTGGTCCTTGATTTCGGACAGGACCCCATGTTTCATTACCAAACACTGTTGTATCTTTTGAACAAACCGTGCAATTTCATTATTTATTTATTGTACAGGTTGTTTGGTATATAGAGGTATCAATATTTTCATTCAAGTATAATGTTTGGAAAAATCTAAAATTTCTAACAAAATGTAAAAAATGTAAAAATGTATAATATAAAATTTCTTCTTAAATTTTGAAAGTTTAAGATCATAAAATTTCATGGATTTAAAATTGCAATATTTTATGATTTCAAAATATCGAAAGAGTTTTATTGTAATTTCACTAAAACAATTATCAAAATTGAATTTGCAGATCGATATCGGGACGAATCGTCGGCAGTGTATGGTGGTTCTTCACCCTAATCTTGATCTCGTCGTACACTGCCAATTTAGCCGCGTTTCTAACAGTCGAAAGAATGGTGGCGCCGATTAACTCGCCGGAAGACCTAGCTTCACAAACGGAAGTACAGTATGGGACACTTTCGCATGGATCTACTTGGGACTTCTTTCGCGTAAGTAAAAAAAAAATTGAATAAAAACTACAATAAAATCTAGACTAAAAATACTAAAATAAAATATAAATGTATTGTAACATATGTGTAATCATATTATCTGAAGATCCACATTTTAAAGTGAATATAGTGTGCAAGCATGATTCAGAAAAGAATACTGTTGTGAAACGCAAGAGGATATAATTAAATAGACACTTCTTATAATTTTGTAATTGGAATAAAATTAAACAAGACACTTCTGATTTCTTACTTTGAATATAGTTAAAGAGACTCATTTCCTAATGTTTCATTTCGAATATTATTGAACAGGTACTTTTTCTAATTTTTTTTTATTCAGATTTAATTAAACAGACACTTCTTCTGATTTCTTAATTCGAATATAATTGAAGAGACGCTTTTTGTAATATTTTAATTCAGATTTAATTGAACAGATACTTCTTCTGATTTCTTAATTCGAATATAATTGAAGAGACGCTTTTTGTAATATTTTAATTCAGATTTAATTAAACAGACACTTCTTCTGACATCTTAATTCGAATACAATTTAACAGACACTTTTTAATGAATCTTTTAATTCAAATACAATTAAATAAGAAGAGGTTCTAATAACTTGATGTCAGTTGACCTGATGTATTTATATTTTATGACAGAAATCGCAGATCAACCTATACAGCAAAATGTGGGAATTCATGAATTCTCGGAAACACGTGTTCGTCAAAACATACGACGAAGGAATACGAAGGGTCAGGACGAGTAAGGGTAAATACGCTCTCTTGATCGAGAGCCCAAAAAATGAATATATCAATGAAAGGGAGCCTTGTGATACGATGAAGGTTGGGAGAAACCTTGATGCCAAGGGTTTTGGGGTGGCGACGCCGCTCGGATCTCCTCTCAGGTAAATTACTATTTCTTTCAAAATTTTGACTAATTCTTACTTCCTTTGAAATAAAAAATCATTTCTCCTTTTTACTATTCTATCGAAAATATTTGTTTGTCTTTTCTAACTGAAGTCCTTTGTTGTCTTTTTGAAGCATTGCATACATAGAATATTGTATCGTTTTTCTGAAACGTTTGAAAGGGAAATGTTTCAAGTAGAAAATGCTTGAATAAAAAATATTTCACACAGAAAATATTTCAGTGAAAAACGCTGAGAATAGAAAGTATTTCAATAAAAAATGTTTCAAATAGAAAATATTTCAATATGAAATGTTCCACATAGAAAATATTGATTTATACAGGGCATCTCACAACTAGTGTAGGTCCCTGAAATGGGGGATAGCTGACGTGATTCTGAATCAGATTTCCCTCTGCAAAAATGGGGTTTGAACTTTCGTTTTTGAATTATTAAGGAAAAACACGGACTAATCAGAGCGCGAGGATTACGCATGCGCAGACACGAGAACGGCAGCTTCGGATAACGCGTAGTTATCCAACGCGTGGTAATCCAACGCGTAGTAATGCAACGTGTGGTAATGCAACGCGTGGTAATCC